TTACATGCCTATGCAGAGAGTATTGGAGAAAGAGCCACTTTAACCCTAAGGTGAAACAAGCTACTTCCTCTGAATTAATGGAAATATTGATTCAAATCACTACGGAGCAAATTTCCAAAGTTAGCCTGGATGCAGGGAAAATAGGACTACTCAGAAACTGAGAAGCCATCATGCTTCTCCATGATCACTGAGGATCAGCTTTTATGAAAAAAATCTGCAGCTATGAATTGTTAATTCAGTAAGAAGAGCATCAGCACTGAAATCGGGCTCTAATCTTGCTCATCTCACTTTATCACCCAAAACAATTGAGATAGAGATATGTATCCTGCAGGAGACTTTGGTCCTTACAAGACTTCATAAAGCCACTTAAAAACAATCCTCCTCACATAATATCAGCGCCAGTTCTAGTGCTTGAGGAACATGCCAGCTACATGAACTGGATTTTGACCTGAATGTGCATCTCAAAAAGCCTGGGCCAGATGCAGAGCTTTGGCCTGGCTTACTTGTTATAATGTAAAAGAGTAATTTCCAAAAGATCCCCCTACTTAACACACATTCCTTTGAACAACCTTTGGAACTGCCACAGTGTTATACTATACTATAACACAGCCCTAAAGCTTATTTTGGAATTTTTCTTTAAATGTAAACGAGAATAGTCACTAGTCTGCTAGATTTCTTGTGTTTAAAAAGCCATAACACATCAGACTTTATGAAGATGTGTCTCGGCAACTCAGTCTCTCAGAAAATATATTCCACATTTACAACATTTTATGAAAGCTCTTCTTATACAAGGACCAAACAAGAACTCGTCTTAGGAAAGTGCCCTCTCGATGTTTTATGCTTTTAAGCAGAGAGTACAGGGGTTTTGTTTCTTTGTTTTTGGAGATGGATGGTGTAAAGGCAACAGGAGACAAGAACACTGTAACTACCTGCCCTTTCACTTCAAGTGAAAGTTTCTATTTCAGGCAAACAATAGACAGCTTTTATATTCTTTCTTTGTAAGTAATGAGAGCCTTGGACCTCCTATTTGAATGTGTTTTCCAGTAAGCATGGTTACAGACATGCCCATTTCCCTAGCAGCTTCATCAAGGGACAGATTATTCCCTCCTTGATACTAGTGATCTTCACCCAGAAGGACTAATACATGCAACTTACCAGGCCAAATAAATCCAGAAGCTACAGAAGCTGCATGTATGGATCTCCTCCTCTGCAAAAAAATACCCAGTTTAGTTTGGGAAATTGCTTGAGATATCAGTAAGGACAAATTTTCAGATTATGTTCCCCACCGGCATTGGTCCCACCTGCAAACACCAATGCAATGATCAAGTGCAGTGTCCCAATGCAATGACCAGTACCTCTCACCCAGTCTTCTGAATCTTCTTTAATCATCCCCAATTCAACTACTTTTGTCTCTAAATACATTGCAGTTTTAACAGCTCATCATGTCTCAGTTTTTTGACTGTTCAGATGTTCAGCCATAAAACAGAATGATGCCAATGTAGTCTTTTCCTGCAAAAAGGGCCAAGAGTCACAAGGTTTGTACACAAAGACACTTTAATGTAAATGAAATTAGTCAGTATGTTTAGTTCAAAGGTGCTCCATGTCCTCCAACACTCAGCGGTTAGCCACCCAGTTTTACCATTCCCTTTCAGTGCAAACAAAAGAATTTTTTAAATGACAGCTCTTTCATGCTTCGTTTTTATTTATTCTTCAATACTGCATTTCAATACGAACTGTTAAGTCTTTATAACAACAGAAACGTACTCTGAAAATGTATTGATCATTGTACAATACGACCTCAAAACGCCTATCCCAAACCTCCTTATTCCAAAATTAGGTTGCCTCCCTCAATATGCAACATTTGAATAAAAAAGTCCTGTCTTACTCCAAAAAATTCAACTGTGCAGTTATATAAACTGAGATCTCTTGACACCCACTCTGGTTTATGAAGGCATGGTTTATATAAAGGACCTTCAACAGAAAATGAGAAATGAATATTGTTTTGCTGAAATTTTCAGAGAATTCTAACACTTTCATTACCGTAGCAGTACACATATATAAAGATATAACGTCCACTGTGCTTTGCAATGAACCGTTTCTGAAGGATTATAATCGTTCTCTGCATAAGGCTGTGAAATGTTTACGTTGTGAGTATAATAAGAAACTACAATGCAGCCATTCCATTTACTTAAGCTTTAGTAATTGCGGAAGTACTGGGTTAAAATCATGTTTATAAAAACATTCTTACTTTAGATTAATAAAAAGTATACATTATGTAAGTGCAAATTCCATTTCGCCACTTTTACTACTTGTTTGTTCTTCGTCATTTGGAGGGAATTTCAGTCCCGTCCCAGTTTTTCATACATTGATACAAGATTAGGATTATAGAAACAAAAGCAATATTTGCTTAAAACAAAACACCAATTTAAAGGATGATATTCTAATATCATCAACATATTCTGAGCAGTCTAATGTATTTCAAAACCTCATTTTTCCATCCTACAAAACCAAAACTTCCATCATTAAATCATGGCCTTTAAAAATAATCTAGAAAGAGCATACAAAATATTTCAAGAGAGCAAAGTAGTTACATACTTGAAATCAGCAACACAGGCATTTTAAGAAGATCTTCCTACTTTTTATGAGACCTCTGGACACAAAAGAATCATGCACTTTGCATGGTTTTCTAATCCCGTATGTATAAGATATGAGGCAGTTTTTCATATAGCTTTGTTAGTTAACAAGAAAATAAATCATATTAAAATTGCAATATGATGCTGGCTAGATTCCCTTGCTCATTCTCAGTAAGAACAAAACTTCTTGTCCTTATTTCTGAGGTTTATGTTTATACTCAGTTTCAGGGTTGATGACTGAGATATGTTTTAAAATAACTAGCTTGAGAATCTTGATAAAAACAGTACTGAGCTCTGGTTTGTTGTGGATATACTGTTATAGCTTACAGTAGAATGTGTCATCTTTGCTCTTAGCCAGTGGGGAAAAAAAAAAAACATCAGAAAGCATGAAACTGCGTGACACTGTAGAAAAGTATGACACTTTTTACCGAGCTTAAATCTGTATGCCCAAGCACAACAAAATACATCTTCAACCACTCTTCCATAGATGCTTTCTGTTGAAACTCAGAGGTATCCATCTGTGGACAACATCTTGCAGGAAAGATAAGATGCAGAGAGAGCAGGCAAAAGACAAATGTGCAACACATGGAGTATAATTTTTCTGTGCATTTTAGGGGAGAGAAAGTCTTTGTGCAGCTGCATGCAAAGCAGTTTGAAGACAGAAGTTATCCCAGTGAGCAGCGTCCTTCCTGCCCTCCCCTCCCCAAAGCAGGTTGTTGCATCTTGCAAAATGACTGTGTCATGCAGGGGCACAGGGGATCCAGACGAAGTGCCTCAGCTTGAAGATGTAAAGGTAAGGATGCTTCCCTACCTTGGATTCGATGCAAGAGATAACTGCGTCAGGCAGCTGGATGCCTAACAGGGAGTTGTGTTACGCTTCTCTCTCTCAGAGGGAAAGAAGAAAAAAAGTGGCTTCACATCAGACTACTACAAATACTAATACTTTCGTCAAGAGCAGAAAACAGGGTACACAAAGATTTTACAAAGCACTAGTCAGACACTGAAGTACACTGACTAAAAGAAAGAATTTGAATACAGGCTTAATAAAGCAGGGTAAATCAGACAAAATCAACCACCTTACACCTAATGACATTGAGAATGAGTCTTCTGTGTATGATTTCAGTGATGCTGGAGGGAGACAAAGCTCTTTCTGTTCATGTTTTTCATACTTGCAGTCAAATGGATTTCTGAATAATCGTGTTTTCTTTACATTAATGGGTGAGGAAGCTATTATACAGAAGATATTTCCATATGTCGCAGTTAGTAAAGGCAATTCTTGCTAATAAGAATAGGTTGTCTCTGCTCATTATCTGATGAAAAGCCCTCTTGTTGTGAGGAAAAAGCAGATTCTGTGGATTGAGGAGGCCGCAGGGACTGCACGCTTTGGCAGCTACTGGATGGAATTGTAAACAGATGAATCCCAGGTCTTCTCCAACTGAATCCAGATCTTTGACAATCACTGAGGTGTTGGGGATACCAAAAGCACTTCATGTCATAATGCCTCCTTCAGATTCACATTCTTCTTGCTGGTGAAGGACACTGGACAAGACGTGGATCCATCACTTAGGAAAATCATCAGCAAGTCCCTTCAGGAGAGCAAAGATGCTTTCTTTTCTTGAGGAAACACCTGGGTGACTTTGTCTCAATAACTCAAAATCCTGCACTGACTGACAGTGAGGCCTGCTATGGGCTGATATCGCAGGCTTCTTTCAGGCTGAGAACATAAATCACATCGGGGAGAAATTCTTCTTTTGGGACCACCCAGAGGCTCGAGACCTTGGCACCACTTGAGTCATTGTCATTCTAAGCACAGAGCTGACATCTATACAATACTGTTTGAGCTACCTAATAAAGAACCAGAAAAACGGTCTTGAAGGTTGTCTTAGCTTACGATGTGTTCAATGTCTGACTACATCTTAAAGCCATACACAAATCAAATCTATTGAAGGACAAGAACCACCTCAGATAATCAACCTATCTAAGTTTACAAAGCAGTACTACATGCTGGTTGCTTCTTGATTGCAAAGTAGGGCAGAGTTTGTTAACCTGTAAGTACCTGAGTAGAAAAAAAGACCTGCCTCTGTTGTCATTCCCACCTGCAGCAGGACTGACAGTTTCCTACAAATAGTTTCAAAAGGCACATCATCTCTCCATGGCAAGTATTCACCTGCAGCCTTACAGTCATGAATGTGAAGGCATCCTGCAAGACACACCTTTTCATCCTGGTGTATTAAAATGTAAAATTGTTTTATGGAGAGGCATTTCTGATAGGAAAAAAATCTATTTCTTCATGTTTTATTGGGAATGGCATTCTGCTGGTTTTCAGTATTCAGAATAGAATTCATGAAATGCTAAAAATACCCAATGAAACAGACAAATGGTTGCAAATATACAGACAATGGGACCAGTTCCTACAAAAGCAACTAGCCCACCTGGATATTCACTGTTACACACACTACTTTCCAACATGTTAGCCAAGTTAATATGGTCAGAATATGAAAACTGGCCACTAATTCTGGCTTTCCCTGAATTGGTCTAAGTTTCCAAACTGCTGAGCTTGTCCTCATTTGAGGCTCTGGATGCTCAACACTTAAGAAAACCAAATCCAAGGTGACTAAAGCTGACACGGAAAAAACCTAAACACATAAAGTCTACAGCTGATTTTGAAAATGCAGTCCCTTAAGGCTAAGTCCTGCTTTAGAAACACTACAGTCATCCTGAAAACTGCATATTTTTGCATCACACCACTAAAAGGCTTAGACAAATGTGGAGGGGGGATCCATACTCCAGCCTGTTCAGTGCCTGTTCGTCCTTGATTAGCCAACTCTAATGACTGCTGATGGGAAGAACAGGAGGACAACTGGAGATCAGCTAGCCCAGCTAACCAGAAGTAGCACTTGCAGAGATGGGGAGACACAAGGACTGCTTGCTGGATTCTGCCCAGAACACAAAACCCAGCCACAGTCTGGCCTTGCAGTGTTTCCGTCTTTCATCTACTTGTGGAAGGTCCTGTTGTATCTGCATTCACAATTAAACATGATTCTGACACAATTATGGTGCTGTCGCTGTAATCTTCAGTGCATGATAGTTTCAGGCTCTGTTTGTGCCTGCCTATTGTTCATGAGAGACTTTGTCTTCGCAATAATTGTAGTACAAGGTGTTCTGGAAGCTCTTTTCAGCTGCAATCTGGTGAACTTCTTACGAATTTTTCTGTATGGAGGGAAAGAAGGAAAGAAACAAGAGAGAGACAGCAAGAGAGGTAAATCTCAATCTCTAACACAAGATCAGTCTCTAACACAAGCCAGTATCAAATGTAAACAAGTACTCTTACCAGGACAAGAAAGCTAGATCATGGAAAAACAACAGTAAGCCTTATCCATCAGCTGATGACTTACAGTTGTATTCACATAGTAACTAATAATTGCTTAGTGAAAAGTGAGTTGGCGTTAGACAATATTTAGAAAACAACATTTAATTATATGAATTCTTGGGCCAGAATGTTCAAACGGGGAATTCTCACTTGTGATTTCAGTAGAAGGAGGAAGGAACAGAGAAGGCTGAGTGGCATTAGCACCCAAGTGAATGAGTTACCTCTATAAAAGTGATGGGCTTGTAGCAATTTTCAATGGTGTTATTTGCACTGTATCAATTCTGCAGATAACAGATGACCTGAATCTCTGGGCTTCTTGTACTAGTGCCTTTCAGGTGTACTAAGTTCACTTTGATTTATAATCTAAATGTCTAAAATCAAACTTACTCACTACAGATGGTCATGCTGTTCCTATTGCAATCTTACAGATCCACAGACAATTAATTCTGAAACAAAAAGCTTCCTTTTATTTCCATGGATATTTATGTACAGTTATAAATCAATAACCATGATGCTGAGTGTATCAAAGGTAGAAGAACAGGAAACACAAAAGAACACATAAGAGTATGGCAAGTGCCAACGTCATGGACGGAGTTCTGAATATATTGCTGAAAAAAATCCTTATTTGCTTAATACACTCAGTTCCAGTTTTCCTTTAGATAGTTTTATAAATTACAGAGAAGATTCTGAGCTTATGGAAATGAATTACAGCAAGCCACAGCCTCTAGGAATAAGTGAGACCCGGCTTTATAATTCAAACTTTCCAAGCTGAAAATGTGACCTGACTGCAAACCATAGGCTGATGATGTGTCTACCTGCATCAGTGTCCTGAAACAGTGAGAAGAGACTTGTCCCTTTCATTTTTTGGGCCTCTAATTCTGAAAATGAAAAATGGTTGCATGTGACACCGAAAATATAGGGGTAGTCTGAAATAAACAGACGCTCTTTTAAGGATTTTGCCATTTCGCATGTTCAGTTTTCAAGTATGCATTTAGTTGAAGGTTGAGAAATCCCATTCATCTATTCTTTCAATAACTGGCCTAAAGAACCAAACATAATCAAAAGCAAAACAAGAAATCAAAAATAAAGAGAATATCCTGTGCTCCGATTTAGAAATTAAAGGAGTAATGAAGCATCTGATAAATATAAATATAAATATAAATATAAATATAAATATAAATATAAATATAAATATAAATATAAATATTAATATTAATATTAATATTAATATTAATATATTGAAAAAGTGCATTTGTTTTAGCTACCTGAAGGCAGGAACTCATCAACATCTCATGGCCTGGAATACCTAACTAGGATTTAGAGTCATTTAACAATAAGCACAACAAAAGAAAAGGAAATGAATCTCCAGAAAGCTAAGCTTAGGCTTTTAATGCAATCCTATAGGGACCCAAAGAACCATGTGGGTACGTATTTTATATGGACATCTTAACTTAGGGCTAAAGAGATTTTCAGCTGATTGACAATAAATTGCATCCAGAATAATATCATAGAAATGTAATCTGACTGGTATGAATACGTATTTCTAAGATAACGTGGCAGCTAGGTTTTGCAAATTCACATTAACAGAAAAGAGCTGTTACTTACACTGATTTTAATGAGGATCATTCCTGCACATGCTTAGAGCACTGGATTCCTTTTTAACATACTTATTTGCCAAAGTTTCTATTTATTTAAAGAATCAATGTGGTCACTGATCTTCTGAGAAAAGCTCATGCAGTATTTGTTTAGAATCCGATAGTAGCTTGTCCTTCTGAATTTTTAATATGGCTACTTCATAAGAAACTCTCAAAAAATCTTACTAAAAAAACTGTTTGCAATGGGCACTAAGTGCAAGGACAGTAAAGGGTTTCTGCAGCATTCATTGTTTCTTTAAGTAACATGACGTAGTTAATCTCATTAAGTATGGGTTCAAAACTAGCATGAAGAAGGTTTAAAAGACGGGGGGAGGAAGTTATCAGCATTACCTCGAGTAAACCATAAAACAGTAAGGCAGATCGTCACTTAGTACATATGAAGGTAGCTCTACGCAAGCTGTCAGAAGAACTAATCTCATATGCATTTTGAAAAGACACTTCTATTTAAATGGGATTGGGCAAATGTTTCCAGAAAATAGCTTTCTGGGTTATAGCCTTTCAGAAATAAATTTGAAGGAATGGAAATTTCCACTGACTTCATTAAACATGTGATATTTGAACAACTGTTTTACTAAAAGCCCCAACTGTTCTTTCCATGGCAAAAATACAGAGGGTGAAGGGAACTGATTCTTTACTCTGAAGAATTTAGCATCTAAATATAGTCTAACTCTTTAATAGCCTCTAATCAGGTTTTACAACCCTTCAGCATTTTTCGTTTTGTAACACTTGGACGGGCAGGTTGTAATAGTAACTGAGGAAAGGCAGGAAATTCAGAGATAAGCTGCCAGTCCATCTTTCACTCAGCACACTTCAACACGACCTCCCTCCCAATAGAGTGAATTAAGGGCAGAGTCACTCTTAATGTTCAATTTCCTGTCCCTTTTTTCAGTTAATATCAGCCATATGTTTTAATTACGTAGAGCTTTTACTTGGTGGTGGCAAGTAAATGGCTTTAATATCTGTAGCGATGATAACATCATTCGCAGTTGTTATGGAAGAGTAATTGACATTTTCCCCTGCTTCTGCCTTTGATTCTTGTGCTAGTGCTTGAAGTGTGATGGGTTAAAGACTTCATTTGAAATGCTAATTAAAAAAGTACTTAAAAGCCTTTGCATTGTATTTTTAGTGCTCTGGAGACCAAAGGTATGAAAATGAATCAAACTTTTAATAGGTTATTAGTATATAAAGCCCACTGTGTTCTTTTTTCTGTCCTGTCAAATGGGAGCACTGCTGCTAAGGTAGGAATAAGGCTAAAATTCTGCACTTCCCTGTGATGCTTGAGCTAGGGACAGCAACGAGACCCCCGGCACCTCTTCAGGGAAACAGGGAAACGTGCAGAAGCAGCACGCACTGCTTAAGACCTACCTTCACCTTGCAAGTTTTGCACACAGATTTACAGCTGCAGGGCAGAAATAACAGTTCTGATGTCTGCAGCCTTCATGCCACGCTCACATGTAATCAGGCAAATAATTTGTGAGAGCCAATCCTTTCTCTGGAGCTAAATGAACTCCATGCAACTAACCATCTGGTGAAGCTAAGTACAAACCTCTATAATCTGTTGTGATGTCCAGATTTCTCAGGAATACAGTAGCTGAGAACAGAATTCCTAATTTGTAAAAGCTGACTAGAAGATCCCTGCTCTAATTATGCCACACATGAAAAGGCAGCAATTCTTAAGCTTGAATGAAACAAAAACAGCCCTCAGGCACTGTTAGTAAAGAACATATTTTTCAAACTGTTCCAATAACAGTAAAAGATCTTACTTGTTACAGCTCTGCTGATAGTAGGTATATCAGTTACTGCTTCTATATATATATATAAACTGTTGCGCATCGGCATTGCCGCCTCTGCCATACACCCAAAGTTGTGAGGTCCACTGTGACTTTATCTACACCAGCACTATATAAGAAGCAACACATTATGGGACAAGATTTTTGTGCTGGAGAGATGCATTGCAGTTAAAGACCACAGATATTTTAGAAGCCTTGTTCTGAAAATGAACGGAAGCAAACATTTTCCTGGGAAACCCTTCACATGCCTACTTTGGAGATATCCATAACTCTCCTAAAATACCATGGCCCAGCAATGTTTTTGATGCTCTATTTCTACTACAAATGTATACAGGAAGTATCATAAACTTAGTTATAAACACAATTTTAAGTGCATTATATCTTATTTTATGCTCTAGCTATAATTTGGGTATTTTCACCAATGTCTTCCTCATGTTGACTCCATTCTTATAGCAACTTTATATGCAAAGACCTAGAGCTGTGGAAATATCTCATTACCTAATTTTTGCTGATAGCAGCGTAGTAGATGCATTGGTAGGGAGCAGACATAGGAGAGAACTGATTCATCACAGAGCTGCCAGGGCAAGGCAGCATTTTGCATTTTGGTCCAAGTTTTATGAAAAGCCCACGGTCAGTCTGGGTCAAGGCCACTTAGCAAAAACCGCTATTGAAAAGTAACCCTGCTTCCTTGGGGAATATTCATCTCAATTCTAGATCATCTTTCCCAGGGCTTCATATATGCTGGGTTCCTCCATATCCAGCCAAGGGATCGGAGAACAAGAGCGGAGCCCTATCTTAGCCAGCTGAAGATCTTCCTACTCATTTCAACAGGTGTTTTAAACAAACTGAAAGACAAACATATGTGCAGTGCTGAGTCTGCTCCAGGAGAATTTAACTGGGATGAGCCTACAGCGCAGAGCCGGAGAAACCTGGCAGAATAGCGAGGCCCTGCATGACTCAGAGCACTCCCTGCATTTCTACCTGCATGGAAATGAGGAGCAAGAACACTGTATTTTATTTAACTGTCCATTTGGCTTGCTATTTTAGACCACTATTTTCTTTCTCAGCACCGATAGGCGCCGCACACTCTGCTTATTTATATTCCATTAAACTCTTGGTCTAGCCTCAAAATTAAAGGAACTGGAAGAAGAAATATATTTGGAAGGCAAAAGCAGGTTAACACTAATAGGCCTTTTCAAAATAAGCTCCTTGGCAAGATGTTTATTTGCAAAACAAACCTGTAGTGTGTTGGTAAACATCAGGCTACTGGAAAGCAGTTGCCAAGAGACACTGTTAGTTACATTGCAAAACTAGTGCGGGTGGCAGCTGGGATGCTGCAGCCTCCAGGAGATGCAAGAGGTGCTCCCGAGGTACCCCCCATCATTTAAATCTTTT